AAGGCTTATAGGGTTTGGTGCTGCAGCCCCCAAGCTGTGAGAACTGTAGGAGAGTGCTGAAAGCCCTAAACCCTAAACCCTAAACCTCTCTTACCTATATATATTTAAACCCTATAGTCGGAAAATCGACCGGCCCTGTTGGGCACTCAAGGGTCTGGCCTTGTCCTGGCCCTCGCGCGCGCGGGCCTTGGCTTTTTCAAGGTTTTTCAAGGTTTCTCAGAGTTTTTCAGTGTTTTTCAAGGTTTTTCAATGTTTTTCAAGGTTTTTCAGGGTTTTAACCCTCAATTCTGATGAAGGGTCGCCCCCGCGACCTTTTCACAGCGTAATTTTGGTCAAGGGGGGGTCGTATTTTTCAATTTTAAAGGCAAAATAGTCTTCTGAGACCCCCCCTTGCCTCAAACTCCGACCCCCCCTTGAGAGGGAAAGTTTGCCTCCAAAAACACCCCAAATGAGGGGGATCCCAGGATCGGCCCGGGTCCCAGGTAAAAATGCGATTTTTTAGTACTGAAATCGACGCTCTGGGTGGCCTCTCGTTTTCTGGATTTTTGACCAAAACCGAGCCTTCACCGGCTTCAGGAATTCAAGTTTTTCACGGTTTGTCAAGGTTTCTCAGAGTTTTTCAATGTTTTTCAAAGTTTTTAAATGTTTTTCAGGGTTTTTCAGGGTTTTAACCCTCAATCCTGATGAAGGGCCGCCCCCGCGACCTTTTCACAGCGTAATTTTGGTCAAGGGGGGGTCGTATTTTTCAATTTTAAAGGCAAAATAGTCTTCTGAGACCCCCCCTTGCCTCAAACTCCGACCCCCCCTTGAGAGGGAAAGTTTGCCTCCAAAAACACCCCAAATGAGGGGGACCCCAGGATCGGCCCGGGTCCAGGTAAAAATGCGATTTTTTTAGTACTGAAATCGACGGCTCTGGGTGGTCTCTCGTTTTCTGGATTTTTGACCAAAACCGAGCCTTCACCGGCTTCAGGATTTCGAAGTCCCGCCCTTTTATGGGGGCCGATGAAATGGTTCGTGGGTAGGAGGACAGGGCTTGCTGATGAGAAATGTAAACTTTTTATTTTCTTAATGTTTTGGGATTCTCTGGGTGGGTGGGTTTTTTTCCGTTGCCTACACACACTGCTGGCCTAGTAAATGCTCGAACATGAGATGCTGAACCCTAAACCCTAAACCCTAAACCCTAAACCCTAAACCCTAAACCCTAAACCCTAAACCCTAAACCCTAAACCCTAAACCCCTTCAAACCCTGCGAGCCCTAGCTAGCTCTGTCCCCCAGGCCTGGAGAAACCCTCAGCCTACATCCCGATCGAAGCTGGAGCACCTCAACGTCCTGAAGCGCCAAACCCTAAACCCTAAACCCTAAACCCTAAACCCTAAACCCTAAACCCTAAACCCTAAACCCTAAACCCTAAACCCTAAACCCTAAACCCAAAACCCTGAACCCTAAACCCTGAACCCTGAACCCTAAACCCTAAACCCCAAACCCTAAGCACCCAAATCCTACATGCCTAAGCCCCTTTCTGGGCGTTTCCAAACTGTTGACAGGTTTCCTAATCTTAGCGTTACCCCCTATTTTAAGTCATGCGAAATATGCCCTGTATCCCTAAACCCTAAAAACTAGACCCTAAACCCTAAACCCTAGCCCTAAACCCTAAACCCTAAACCCTAAACCCTAAACCCTAAACCCTAACCCCTAAGCCCCTCAACCCTAAACCCTCACCCCTAACCCCTAACCCCTAAACCCAAATTCTAAACCTTAAACCCTCAACCCTCAACCCTAAACCCTAAACCCTGCACCCTAAACCCTTTGCCCTAAACCCTAAACCCTAGACTGCCTTGTCTCCGCGATTGTCGCATTGCCGTTCTAGGACAAGCCTGGACCCTAAACATTTGAGATCCGATTAAAACAGAAAACCCTCGAACCCTAGAAGGAAAACCTTAAAACCCTATGTCCTTGTAACCCTACAACCCAAAAGCCCTACAACCCTAAAACCCCTAAGACGCTAAAAACACTATCCCCCCAAATCCCTCAGTCCCCTAAATCCGTAGAAATCCCAAGAGGCGGACAGGGCTTGGGATTCTTGTAATCACTTCCCTCTTGTTTTGCCACACAACCCTTCATGAAAACGCTTTCCGGAAAATCTTCCCGAAATCACCCCCACAGTTTAAAGCCCATTCCGAATTAGGGGGTGGGTTGAGGGTTCCCAAAACCCTCCAACCAACCAACATCGGGCCCCCTCCCGTTTAATATTAGGGGGATGCGAGTAGGATCGAGTAGGAAAGGGCCCCGTGTCAGCTTCTTGTTGCTGTCAGGTTGCAGCTATGACGGCTCGGGCCTTACTCCTTACTGGCCTGGGATTGTCCTTGGTTTAGGGATACCCGATGCCCCAGCGAAACACGAAGCTAGACCGCGGCGTAGGAAGAGCCTTGCAAGCAGTGGCCAATGGCTTTCTAAGCTGAGCAGCTATGGCTGCCCATGGTGCATGCAAACCTTTTCCATGTAACAATGAACGGTCATGACCTTTCTCAAGTGCCATCTGAAAACGCGCCTCATCAGCCAAACAAGGGGAGGACTAAACTTTGCTGCCTGACACCGGGCTTGAGAGTTCTCCTACAGTAGTGGTGAAGGCAGGCTTTCTTGAAGCCCTGATTTTCTGTGTGGGTTGAAACCATGAAAATCAACGCCGCGCTGGCTGTTTCGCAAGGAGGGCGTGCCTAGCATAGGCCCGCGATCCGAACCATGTTGACATTCTCTTTGTGGTGCTTTACTGTAACTTTACATCTTTAGCCTTTTTGGGTTTATTGGGCTTCTTAATAAGGCAGCTAAAAGTTTAAGTTTTTGCTACCCTCCTAAGTGCAGCCAAGTTCTGGACAAAGAGATGGGGCAAGTTGGCCGTAAACTTGTTTGTGTTCACAGGCTTCTTGAACACTGGGAACTTGAACTTTACAACCCTAAGCCCTCAACCCTAATCCCTGAACCTCTTTGTTTCTCCCAGCCCTTCAGTCCATCTGGACCTATCAAGCTCGTGGGATATGCCGATTCGCCCTAACCCTAAACCCTAAACCCTGAACCCTGAACCCTAAACCCTAAACCCTAAACCCTAAACCCTAAACCCTAAACCCAGGTCGATGGGGCCCGTCGCCCATACTCAGCCAGGTCGAGGCCAGCTGGGCTGTGGTCAGCTTGGAGGTTCTTGGTACTTACTAGGGTTTAGGGTTAGGGTTTCGGGTTTAGGGTTTAGGGTTTAGGGCACTTAGAAACCAATTGTATCTGTACTTATAACCCACTAATGTGGTCATAAGTACAGTTCTCCTATACCCTGAACCCTCAACCCTACACCCTAAACCCCAAACCCTAAACCCTAAACCCTAAACCCTTTAAGCACACTTATCATTGGTTAGTAAGTACCCTGAACCGCCAAGTGGCTGTACAGCTCCTAGGTAGGCCCTTGGGAGACATTCATATTTTTTCCCTTATTGGGGTTTAAGAGGATGTATATTATATGTTCCCTTATTATTGGGTCTTAAGGGAGTCTATATTTTTTCTCCCTTCTTGGGGCTTCAGAGGATCATATTCAGGAGCATTTTTCAGAGGCTTCAGTGAAAGGCCAGGCTTTCGGGGCTTCTGTGTTACCCTTTGGAGTTTAGGCGTTTAGGCAAGGGTTCGCCCCAATATGTGGGCCCAATACAGAACCACCCATAAACCTGTTCTTTGATGGGTGCAAGCCCTCTTGTGTTGTGGTGTTGTTGACTGGACCAGGGGTTGGGCCGGGGTTTAGGGTGTTGGGTGTTGGGTGTTGGGATTTCAGGGTTTAGTGCATACATAATACATAATTGTATGCATAACATATATATATATATACATACACATATATATATACACATACATGCATATACACAATTATATGTATATTCATATTATACATGTATAACATGTGGGGGGGGGGAGAGCTGTGCAGCGAAGTGCCGCCGGGCCATCTTCGTCGATCCTTGATCTGGACCGGATGCCACAGGTCGCGATGACGATTGCTTAAGATGTTGCGGTCCTTAATAGGGGTTGTAGTACCCTGGTTTAATCCCTATTAACCCTTATACTAATGGGTCCTTACTCGGGATCATAGTACCCCTGTTATAATCCCTATTAAGGACTGTTAGTACAAGGGGGAACATCCTGTCTACTCACTCGACGCAGCAGGCGCAAGTGCATCGTTTGGAAGTTTCACATGCGAAGAAGCTTACCGCCGACACAAGGACCAATTGCATCGTGATACTGCTCGTGTACGTATGAATTATTTTTCGCGTGCCTCTTCTCCATGCAACTGCGAGAGCAGTTGTTTATGCACTCGAGTTCCGCATTGCACCAAACCAATCCAAACCATCAGTGCACAAAGCTGGTGCCGTTTTCAGTATGAAGTTTGAGTCTTCGTTTCAAGCTTTCTCCCCCTGGTTCTTAGTAGGGAATGAGGGAATTTGGGCCCCATATACACCCTGTAAGGAACTATATCGCCTCATTCCCTACTAAGAACCAGCTAGTTGTGTGTGGAGTAGGCTCCTGTGGTCATCTTGCTACCCTAAACCCTAAACCCTAAACCCTAAACCCTAAACCCTAAACCCTAAACCCTGAACCCTGAACCCTGAACCCCAAACCCTGAACCCTGAACCCCCAACTTGTTTTGCGTGGCGGCCCGGGTAGCCTCAAGGCTCAAGTTGACTCTCGAATATAGCGGAACTTCTACAGCTGCCACGGCTTCAGAAACTTGTGATAGGTCTCTCAAAGTCGCGTTGAAGTAACGCAGGGGGTCGGAAGAACTGCTGTTAGTACTCCCTTATGGTACTTAGACTACAAATTACCCCCCCCCCCACTCACCCGAGACGCTCTTCTAATTCGGGCCCCTAAGAGTACTCCCTTGCCCTACAAATGGGGGTTTCACCTTATTGGGGTTCCTAGTATCGGGGAATCTACCGATTTTGGGGGTCCCGTATTTTCGTACGCCGCCCAAATGGCGCATGTCTTTGATCGGGCGCAAGATCCGCCCTCTGCCGGCTTCGCCACCGAGCGGCTCCGCCTGAGGCCATTCGCGGAGCAGCAGGGGTCGGTTTCAGCATCTGTTTTTTTAAAGCAAGGGTTCTAAAAGGCTTCATGGATTAAGGGTACTTCTGAAGCATGATCCTTATCAAGCCTTTTCTTATCCTTAATTGGTCCCCTACATTTTCCTTATAAAAGGCATACAAAATGCCCAAACCTAATAATATAGGGTCGGAATAATAACTAATAGCATTCCCTCTTGGTCCCTTTATTATTAGACTATAATATCCCCCAAAACGCTAGTCGAATTAAAAGCCCCTAAACCCAAAACCCAAAACCCTAAACCCTAAATCCTAAACCCTAAACCCTAAAGCCTAAACCCTCTCTAATTATTACGGCCCCCAAACCACCCCAGGAAGGACCTGGAGAGTTTCGCCGCGTACCGAAGAGACCCCGAGGTGGCCAGGTTCCTCGGTAGGGTTTAGGGTTTAGGCTTTAGGCTTTAGGGTTTAGGGTTTAGGGTTTAGGGTTTAGGGTTTAGGGTTTAGGGTGTATTTAGGGTTTAGGGTTTAGTGTGAATATTTAGGGTTTAGGGTTTAGGATTTGGGGATTTGGGACCCTAAACCCTAAACCCTAAACCCTAAACCCTAAACCCTAAACCCTAAACCCTAAACCCTAAACCCTAAACCCTAAACCCTAAACCCTAAACCTAAACCCTAAACCCTAAACCCTAAACCCTAAACCCTAAACCCTAAACCCTAAACCCTAAACCCTAAACCCTAAACCCTAAACCCTAAACCCGGGCTTTCTAAGGGCCATCCGAGGTTCCAGTCGTGGGACGCCGAGGCCTACACTTTGGAGAAGGCGAAGCAGCTCTTCGAGACGTCGTGCCAGGACAGGGGTTTAGGGTTTAGGGTTTAGGGTTTAGGGTTTAGGGTTTAGGGTTTAGGGATTAGAGTTTAGGGAAGTTTGAACATAATTCTACGTTCTTTGGTCTGTTATTACCCTGAATCCTTATATAATCAGCATTTTATAACCCTTAATTGATCCCTATATAATCCTGATACAGCCTTATCTTACCCCGTATTTAATCCCTATATGATCCTCATAGCGCCATTTTTCATGTTCATTGATCCCACCCCAGAGGAGTTCAACGTGCCCGGCACCTGGTACCAGATGGCCGTGGCGGACGCGGAGACGGATGAGCTCGTGGGGGACTGTGCCATCCACTTCCTGGAAGACGGCCAGCAGGTCATGGGTTCCCCTACTACGTACCCCTCTATGCTACTCTCCCTAGGTTTCCCTAATTAGGTTCCCCCCCATAGTTAAAGCCATTTTTTCGGGATATTTAAGCCTACTTCAGGTTATTTAAGGGCGGAACCTACGTAGGGGGGACAGTTTTGAGGGGGGGTAGTAGGGACACCCATGAGCAGGTCGAAATTGGATACACCCTGGCAAGGGAACACCAAGGCAAGGGCTTTGCCAGAGACTTAGCAGCTGAAGGAGTACACTCAAGACACCTCTTGGGAGAATTGTAACCCACTATCCCCCTTTGGAACTGAAAGTGTAGACTCTTTTTGGGGTCTTTGGGATAATTGTAATTTACTATCCCCTTTGGAACTGAAAGTGTAGACTTTTTTGTGGGGCTTAAGAAACTCAGCAACCCAAGGAGAGGCAGTAGACAGCCTGGTGCACTTTCTCTTCTTTGTGCTGAAGAAGCGGCGCATCGCTGCCACCACTGATGTGCTGAATGCACGCAGCGTGACTGGGTCTTGGAGTACTATACTTCAATACTTTTTTGGTCTTGGCTCCTATTATAGTATTATAGCTAGTTATACCTAAAAAGTACATTCCTTTTTTTCCAGGGTCTATTCCAAAGCTAAGGTGAGGCTGCTGGAGAGTCTTCACTTCCGTAGAGAAGCTCATTTCGTGGAGAACGTCTTCTTCAAGGGCAGCTGGGGCAGCGAGTACTGCTACGCGCTGCTGGCGAGTGAGGCACATGCCCTGGGCGCTGTCAGCAGCAGTGTGAAGAAAGAGCCTTCCTTGGCAAGGCATACAACCCAAGCCGCTGCCCTAAAACCCCTACAGCCCTAAACCCTCAGTCGTGCCCGATATCTGTCCTTGAGACATGGCACAAGGCCCGACGCTCTCAAATCCCTAAGTCCCAAGCTCCTAGGCCTCTAAGCTCCACAGCCCTAAGCCCTCAGCCTTTAACCCTGAATCCTAAGCCCTGAACCCTAACCTTAAACCCCAAACTCTAACCCTAAACCCTAAACCCTAAACCCTAAACCCTAAACCCTAAACCCTAAACCCTCAATTGGAACTTCCAGCCTTTGTCTTGGGGTGCCTTGCGAGGCCACAGAGCGCCTCCCTGTGCAAAGACGGCGGGGCCTCCACACCTGCCGACATCTCAGCGCAAGGGTTGAGGGTTTAGGGTTTAGGGTTTAGGGTTGAGGGTTTAGGGTTTAGGGTTTCGGGTTTAGGGTTTCGGGTTTAGGGTTTAGGGTTCAGGGTTTCGGGTCTAGGGTTTAGGGCTTAGGGAGAGCATGGCTGGGGAATTTCGACTTGTTTAGAATGTGTTCGTTTCTTGTTGAGAGAAGAGCAGGGGCCGAAGGTCGAGGAGTTTAGAGTTGATGTTCTTCGTCGTGGGTTCGGTTTTTTCACCCGCCATCCTTATACCTTACCCCCCCCCCCCGAAAAAAAAAAGAAAAGAATCAGAAAAGTTTAAATTCCTTATAAGGAATTTATTAGAGAGAAAGGAATCCCCTCGTCCGCGGTGAGTGTTGGCCGGAGCTTTGGCCTGTAATTCAACACCAGCATCTTTGAGGGCATACGGACAGGGGACCTGCTGCAAGTAGGATTGCCGAACTCCGCCATTCCCCTTATGGTGGTGAATGCGCACGTGCCCGGAGCACATGGGTCGCATCGTGCACTGAGCATGCGCCGAGGGATTTGTGGAGAGGAGTGCCTGCTTCAACAGCGTGCAGCTGTGCAACGCACAAGGGACGTCGCCGAGCTGGCCTGGTACCTTGAAGGGTGACCTTCGGGGTAAGAGCATTTTTCGCGCGAGGATGGCGGGCTGTCTTGCCCTTATGAAGGGTTGCCGGTGGCCTAGTTGTTGCTTTGTGCGAAGTTTGGCGAGCCCTCGTGCATAACTGGGCCGATTGCGGGCCCCTGAACGTTGTTTCGGCTGGGGCGCAGCGCCAGTTCGAACCCCAAGTGGAAAGGGCATTCACGCTTGCGGAGCCCCCGGAGAAGCCACGAGACTAGGCACTTAAGGCAAGGCTTCTGCGTGTGCCACCTCATGCTGCTAGCCGCTTCTCACTCACTCGCTCACTCACTCACTTACTCCAAGAGGAAGTGACTTACTTGCCGTGCTTGGCCCTGAGTGTTCTTTCCCCGGCGTGGCCCGGGGCAGGGGTGACTTGCCACCCCTGCCCCAACGCGTGCAGGCTCTCTTCCCGTTTCTGGGCAAGCCATGCCCCAACCATCTCCCCGTACACCTCAAACCCTGATGAACCTACACTCTAACCCCGAAGCCCGAAACCCTTAGCCTTGAAACTCTGCAACCGTCTCTGTAGCCAGACCAGGGGTTTCGGGTTCGGTGGGCCGAGATTTCAATGGCTTTCAGCAGCTCCAAAAACCCTAACGGTTTGGTTTAGGGTTTAGGGTTGAGGGTCGAGGGTTTAGGGTTTAAGGATGCGCTCAGACTAAGCACCCACCGATCGCGTGTTCGCGCTCGCGTATGCTGCGCTAGAACAGGCACTCGTTCAGGTTGCAAGCAGTCTTTTGCCGTTCCTTGCCGTGCTTGCGGTCAAAGCAACAACCAAGTTCGGTCCTTCTTAGAATCACAGAAGCTACACACTGCGTAGACGCCCGTGTTGTTTTAGAGAAGTGTTGGTGAACTATCGCCGTGGCGGAGCAGTATCATGTGTGGGTGAACTAGATTCACTTTGGCACTGTGGAGCGCTTAAGGGACTTCGGTCGCACCCTGGTGTTCGTTTACAAACAATATAGAGGTGTTGGTAAACAGCGATTTTTCATCTTACATTGGTGTTTACAGTGGGCTTGTTTTTGGTATAGAAAAAAGCATGAAGCATAGGGCAACAAACGTGGGAAAACCTACTTAATAATCACAAGATATGTGCTCGTACGTCTGATCACTGGCAGCACGAACGTAATCATCGTGCGGGCATGGATGCTCTGGCCCGTCGCACGTACTGTATCAGTATCACGAACGTAATCATCGTGCTAAGGTTCCATGGCTTAAAGAAGAAGAGAAAGTAAGCAGACTACACATGTCATCACATGTCCGTACTGTACGCGACAAGTGGGAAGGTTGATGAACAGTCGTTGGCACCGATGATTTTGTGCATGCAACATGGTGAACAACAGTGTCTGCATCGAACAAGTCGAGACCGGAGCAGCCACTGAACCTCCTGGAAAGCGCGGGCGAACAGTGTATCGTTCCCAAGAACCAGTAAGGAGAAGGTACCGCCTTTGGTATCGAGGAAGCTGGAGACGGCGCAAGTACTGTTCTGAGGTAAGCCCTAAGCCCCAACCCTAAATCCTTAAAACCCTAAGACCGTAAACCCCTAAAACCCTAAACCCTAAGACTGCAAAACCATAAAACCCCTAAAACTTTAGAACTCTAAAACCCTAAAACCCTAAATGCCTAAAGCCCTAAAACCCTGGAACCCTAAGACTCTAAAACCCTAAACCCAGACCACTAAAGCCCGAATTGAAGCGCGCAAATCCTGCCGCTCCAGGCCACTCGACCGGGATCCGCACTGCGCCACTCCCAAGTTCACGATGAAGGGAGGGGGTTTAGGGTTTAGGGTTTGGGGTTTGGGGTTTGGGGTTTGGGGTTTAGGGTGGAGATTCCCTAGGCCAGTGGTACTCTTTTGCCCTTTATGGTTACTGGGCCACCAAGCCTAAGGGAGTCCTTCCAGCATCCTAAACTTCTTGGGCCTAGGCCCTAAATATCAACCCAAAACCCTAATTTTTTTGGGGTCTAGGGTCTTGGCCTTAAAGGCTCAGAATCTGGCTCAGAAGTGCTTCCTTCTTCGAAAAATTCTCGGCTTTTCTCTCCTGGGAGTGCTGAGAATCAGAGCTTCGACAGAGGAACATGAGCGCTTTAGGGTTTAGGGTTTAGGGTTTAGGGTTTAGGGTTTAGGGTTTAGGGTTTAGGGTTTAGGGTCTAGGGTTTAGGGTCTAGGGTCTAGGGTTTAGGGTTTAGGGATTAGGGTTTAGGGTTTAGGGTTTGGCGTTTAGGGTTTGGGTTTAGGGTCAGGGTGAACCCTACTTGGAGGCTCACGGGTACTTGTACGAAATGTTATAGGTGAGGAAAGTATAGCTATGGCGTTATAGCCTGATTTCGTGCACGAATTACCGCACGTACAAGTACCTCCAAGTCAGGCCTCTCTCCTGTCTCCTGAACCCCAAAAGCAGGTCCGTTTCCATAAGAAACACAAGAAACGAAAGCAGCCTCACGGCAGGTCTTCGAGTTTTGGGTTGGGCTGGGGGGTCGTTCTAGTAGCAGAACGTGAGTCATGTCGCGATCTCCAAGATGCAATGCCGCAACTAAGTAGAAATAAATACAAATAAATAAATATACATCTAGATATACATATACATAAATGAACAATGACTAGTTAAATATGTGTATATATATATATATGTATATTTTGTAGAATTTGTGCAATTATCCTAGAAAAATATAGAAACAGCTCAATAGATACATACATACATATATAAGTATCTGTCTATATAAGTACATATATATAGACATACCAAAATATACACACACACATACACACATACACACATACACACACATACATACATACATAGATATATATATATATATATAGCATGTTCCCCAGCCCCTTCAAGCCCTATACGCCCTGAGGCCATGGCGGCGGAGCCCGGAGAGCTTCCGGCCCCGCCCTCGATACTGTTTAGGGTGTTTTTTTTTGTCCGCCCTAAGGATTCGAAACCAATCCAAAAGTTTAGGGCTCAGGGTTTAGGGTTTAGGGTTTAGGGTTTATTACGAGGAGGGTTGTAAGTACCTTGAATAGGATTCTCACCATAGTTGCCCTACTCGTCGACGAACCCACGAACCTCCAAGTAGTGTTTTGGGAGGGCTCGAGGGGGGTAAGGGAATTGGGGCACCCGCAGGCTTGGAGTTGGGGGCTGTGATTCCGCTAAGCCAGAAACCCTAAACCCTAAACCCTAAACCCCAAACCCTAGAAACTTGCCCCCACATCTTGCCGGCTCTTAGCCTCAGCTCCTCCAAAGTAGCGCAAGTCAGGAGGTCCCCTACCACAATGAGAATGGAGGTGCCTATAAGTAGGGTTATAAGTGCCCTAAGTAAGGTTATGGCCATAGTTAACCCACTTATAAACCCTACTTAAGACTACCCTAAACCCTAAACCCTAAACCCTAAACCCTAAACCTTAAACCCTAAACCCTAAACCATAAACCCTAAACCCTAAACCCTAAACCCTAAACCCTAAGCCCTAAACCCTCACCCTAAACCCTAAACCGGGGGTCCGGGGGAGGTTTAGGGTTGGCTCTGTTCGGTTTAGGGGGCAGGGAATCTTGAGAGACCTGACGTCAGGAATCTGGGATTCATGGGCCGCCAGTTCCTTCAATGGAGAAGGATCTAGGGTTTAGAGTTCAGGGTTTAGGGTTTAGGGGTTTAGGATTTGGGGTTTTGGGGTTTAGGATTTAGGGTTTACCGTTTGAGTTTAGGGTTCGCGGTTTAGGGCTTCTAACCCGTTGTGAAGACTTGAGCCCTACATCCCAAAACCATGGAAGCATTCCACGGGCCCCAAACTCACTCATGCTCTGTGTCCTGAACCCCCAAACCCCACCCTCAAACCC